TGGGAGGCTGAGGCGGTAGAATCGCTTGAACCTGGGAGGTGGAGGTTGCAGTGAGCCAAGATCGCACCACTGCACTCTAGACTGGGTGACGGAGTGAGACTCCATCTCAAAAAAATAAAATAATAATAATAATTAATTTTTGAAAAAGAAAGTAGTAGAACTAGAATTCAAACTTAAGGCATTTGATTCTTAATTCTGCACCCTTAAATTTGTAGCTTAATACAGAAAGGAAATCTATAGCTAAGGAAACTGAGAATCAGAGACAGCAGCTCAGTTGCTCCAGGTGGCACAGTTAATAAGCAGCTATACCCAGTCCAAGTCTGTGTGATTCCCTCAGGTTGGGCTATCTTCTTCATAGCACTTGTTTCAAGAAGGGAGTACATCCATTTAATGATAAAAATGAAAACAACAACAACAAAAAAACTCCGTTGCTCCAAAAAAAAAAAAAAAATCAAACAAATAAAAAAACCCTGTTGCTCCTTGTGTTTGCTTATTCTTTTAGGCTGGCCCTGCCAAAAGACTAAATATTTCTGCTTCCAAGGTAAAAGGCTTGGTGGCAATAAATCAGTGTACATAGGTGATAGGTGTGCCTCACTGTACATTAGCATTTCCCTGAAAAGGTGCGAGCTTTTTTTTTTTTTTTTAGTCAATCATTGTGCACATTTTGAAGACGTTTATCTTCCTTTATCAAGGCTCTTAGCAGCTGCCTCCCACATTTGTTTGGTTTTTTTTTTTTTTCCTTTGCTTTCCCAGCTTCTCTACTTTTTTTTTTTTTTTTTTTTTTTTGAGATGGAGTCTCGCCCAGGCTGGAGTACAGTGGCGTGGTCTCGGCTCACTGCAGCCTCTGCTTCCTGGGTTCCAGCAATTTTCCTGCCTTAGCCTCCTGGGTGGCTGGAATTACAGGTGCATGCCACCACAGACAGCTAATTTTGTATTTTTTAGTAGAGACGGGGTTTCACAACCATGTTGGCCAGGCTGGTCTCAAACTCCTGACTTCAGGTAATCCACCTACCTCGGCCTCCCGAAGTGTTAGGATTACAGGCGTGAGCCACTGTGTCTGCCACTTCTTTAAATACTTAATGATCAACAGTACTTCTAGAAAATACTGTCTTGAAATGATCATTTGTACTATTTACTGATTAAAAAATAGCAATATTTCCACCTTGGGCAGCACCAGGTCTGCTTGTTGCCCCAGGTTGGTCCCTGGTAATTGTGTTTTCTTCTTCTGTCCCTCCATGTCTGTCACTCTTTAGGCAGATAACTCCCGAGTTGGAGGTTTCCTCCTACATAAAAAGGGATCTGATTAAATGAGCTGATATCCTCCTGAGATATCCTAAAAGTCTTTTGTTCTGGAATTGGCAGCTAGCAGAGGTTAGCTCTGTCCTTACCCCGGCCCCTAAGACTGGCCTCCCTTCCCCAGGCCAACTAGTGTCAGAAAGAATCAACCAGCAGCACAATAAATAATTGATCTTCAACATGTGCTTCTAATTCAAATAAAGGGCATTTAACCACAGTGAGTATCGCATGTGACTGAAGTATTTTATGTGGAAATTTGAAGATTTCTGATAACTTGCTGTAAAGAAGTTTTCACAGTGACTAAATCTCCAGGGGCCCTTTCTATCTCAAGTTCAAGTTACTTAGACAGTGATTAAAGACCTTTTATAGGCCCCTGTGGTAAGTGATAGCATAGAGGAAAAAAAAAAAATAGCATTCGTTGGCTATGTAATTTAGCAAGACTTAATCTATTTGTTTGAGTTTTCATCCATCGGGCTTGCTGAAATACTTTAAATAATTAACCTGTTTCTCTGCAGCCTGAAGTATCCCCAGAGTTTCCATTCCAGGCCTGAGATGAGTGATTATCCAGCACAGATTGCCTTATTTATTTGGAAGACTCTCCATCTCAGTCCAGCTGCTTTTTCTTGGGACAGCAGACAGACCCTGGACGTGGTATCCTTTTACGTTACAGTATTTAGAAAGTAGAATAAATCAGTGAGATCCAAGAGCAAAAGGCTATAGTTTCTTTTATTCACTTTATTTTTGTTTTTTTCTACTGTCCCTGCTAGGTGCTCAGCAACTGAATCGATCGAATTTCAAAACATGTAGAGGTGTCGACGTAAGTCTCCAAAGTCCGCACAGAGAATCCCAAACCACAAGTTTGGACATTTCCAAGGAAAGAAGCACAGGGTGGCAGGATGAGGCAAGAGGCTGCTTACTCCAAGCCAAATCTCATGACCCAACCGCACAGTCATAAGAGGAGTGGGTTCAGTTGCTTTAGGAAACCAAGAGCAGTGAAAGAAACACTTGGGAATTTACTGGTAGATAAGGTTTTTCTGATCGAAGAAAAGCTACAAAGTAACGCAGACCAAGGGTGGTTTCTGGGCAGCATTATGATTATGTCTTTTTAGGAAAATGCCCCTTCTCAGGGACCTTACTTGCTGCCTGCCCACAGATTGATCTGAACTGAATCTCGGTTACTAGTTTTCGCTTTCAAAGACCTCCTATCTAGGGGAACATTTGAAAATAATTTACCAAGCACTTCCCTCTGCTGCATAATCTGTCTGTGTGTTCTGTGTTGACGCCAACTTGCATTTTACATGTGGAGCCAAAAACTCTCTTCTCGGGAGCCTGGGTCATACTGCTCCTTTAAAAATGAAAGTGAGAGAGAGAGAGAGAGAGAGGCCACACTGATTTTAGAATTGAGTCAGGGTTTTGTGATTTATAGTGTACCCAGGGTGAATGGGCGTGGCTTCTAGATATCCACAGGCAAATCTTACCCTAAAAGACACAGGCCTTTGCACACGCCTTGCAGAACATTCACAACAGAAGAATCGAGGCTTGTAAGCGATGAGACTCATAGATAGAATATATTAAACGGAGTAGAATCTGGTGCCTAATAATTTACATAAAAGTGGCCCAGAGAATCTACTCAGCACATGTCCTGGCCAACTCAGAAATTAGGAAATACAAATATTTAAAGAGAAATCTGGATTCCTCTGTGTGTATTTGAAATCCTCTCAAATATGCTAAATGGATGCAGTTTGGTCTTGGTAAGGGATAGAGGGCCTGAGACAGTATTAGCGGAGTTTGATTTTTTTGCCCAACTTGTGCAGTGCCTGTTTTATCGAGGTTTCTGTGATTTTAGACCATTCACCCTTAGTGAAAGTCCCAATAAAACACAGAATGTAATTATGTTGGGGGGAAGAAAGAAGCAAAAGAGCAGGAGGCCTGGTGAATCCTTTTATCAAGGTAGAAAGAAAGAAAGAAAGAAAGAGAAAGAGAGAGAGAGAGAGAGAGAGAGAGAGAGAGAGAAAGAAAGAAAGAAAGAAAGAAAGAAAGAAAGAAAGAAAGAAAGAAAGAAAGAAAGAAAGAAAGAGAAAGAAAGAAAGGAAAAGAAAGAAAGAAAGAAAAGAAAGAAAGAAAGAAAAGAAAGAAAGAAAGAAAGAAAGAAAGAAAGAAAGAAAGAAAGAAAGAAAGAAAGAAAGAAAGAAAGAAGGAAGGAAGGAAGGAAGGAAGGAAGGAAGGAAGGAAGGAAGGAAAAGAATGCAATTATGTTGGGGGAAGAAAGAACAAAGAGCAGGAGTCTGGTAATCTTACTGGTGGATTGTTGTTGTTGTTATAAGAGAGAGAGAGAGAGAGAGAGAGACATGTTGTTGTTGTTGTTGTTGTTGTTGTTGTTGTTGTTGTTACAGGTTATTGCCGGCGTTGTTGTTGCTGTTGTTGTTGCTGTTGCTGTTGTTGTTGTTGTTGCTGTTGTTGTTGTTGCTGTTGCTGTTGTTAAATAAGGAAGGAAGGAAGGAAGGAAGGAAGGAAGGAAGGAAGGAAGGAAGGAAGGAAGGAAGGGATGGAAGGAAGGAAGGAAAGAGAAAGAAAGAAAGAAAAAGCAAGCAAGCAAGCTAGCTAGCTATTTCCACAGTGATTGACTTCATCAACTGTCATGGACAAGCACAAGTTGGACCTAAGTTGTGCATCTTTTTTTTTTCCTACCAGGCTTGTTTCTGGGATAATTTCCCTTAGATATATTGCTCACTGTGTCAATTATAAATCATATTTATTTTCACTCATGAAAAAGATGTCTAGAGATATGCAATCGAAGGCTGCAGTCTTTCCTACCTTTCTAGTTTCCCTTGTAGGGGTGTCCTTGATTTGCATTCTTACAAGGTGGCTTCAAGAACATAAGCTACCAAGTTAGAAGTCCAGATGGAAAGAAGGGTGAGCAGGGAGAGGAACAGGGCATCTGCCAGCCAAGTCAGCTTAAAAGCTTTCATAAAAGCCGCACCCAAAAATTCCTGCTAACATCTCATGTGCCAGAACTATGCCAGTTAACCCTACCCTCCAGCAACCTGCATCGGGACTGGAAATACAGCTGTAATTTTTTTTTTTTTTTTAACCTGAACACATTGTTTTCCAATTAGGAATTTGTTAGGGAAAAGAAGATGATTGGAGAGTCGATGAAATGGAAATTTAAAATATCCAGCTTACTATGTTATTGTGGGGATTAAATCTATGCGTAAATCACTTGATAATACTCACTAATCTGGCGGCACATGAAAATAATATTTTCTTCTCTCTCCCTAGTCTTACTCACTTCTCCAGGGCCCTGTTCAGAAACCAGAGCACACAGTGGAGCAATACCTTGATGCTACAATTTGTTTTTTATCTAATTAACCTCACAGAATAATTTCATTTTGGGGGAAAAAGTAGATGGCATAAGAAGAAATACTCACCCAACTTCTCATTATTGGTAGGGCATTTGAAACTAGAATTGCCATTTTACATAGGACCTGCTCGTGATACTTACAAAAACAACCAACTTTTACTTCAGATATACCTGTTCTACAAGCTTTTAAAAAAAAAACCATAAAAATGCTTTACAATGCTGCCTATGTTCTATTTATACGAAGCAGCATTCTTATTTTTGGTGCACTGTACCCAATGCTGACCGCGTCAGCAAAGATACCTTATACCACTGAAAATATAGGTATATGTACACACTTTTTGCATTAAGATCTTTATTATTAAGTAACTCACTGGGGTTGTCAAGTATGTTATAATATTACACAGATAATTAGAGATAAATATCACATAGAAATGCTGATTTTACATTCTCTTCTGAGTATAAGCATTTGATGATAGAGGCTCAGAGCACAACAAAATGTATTTCACGGGACATTGATGCCCCATTCTGATATTGACAAGGCAAACATTAGCAGTAGCGGACTCAACAAAGCAAAGCAAGGTGACATGAAACTAGATGTAGGTCAAAGGTAAAACAAGCTAAAAAATGTTTAAGTGTTTTTGTCTATTGTCATGGTGACTGTTTTCTACTTACAAGATTGCAGTACTCTAATTTAGCCAAGTAATTGCTGCTGTACAATCCAAATCTACGGTGTGCATAATTTTTTAAATGGAGTGTGCATTCCTCAAGCAGGACTAAAAATCATCGTACTTGGGTCTCTGATATTAAGCTTCAGAACAGTTTTGCAACTTTTGACCTGAACAAATCTCTTATCCATAAAACAACAGGAATAAAAGATGGCACATGTGCATTTAAAAAGTAACTTTATTACTCCCAGGCCAAAAAAAAAAACACAAGGGAAAAGGAAGGAGAAAGGGAAGAATGGGGGAGGAGGGAAGAAAGGAAAGAAAAACAAAAAAAGAAAAAAAAAAAGAAAAGAAACAGAAAGGCACTCTATCTACCTATACCTATATATTTTACTTTTATTTATAATCTTGGACTATGTAATTTCGTTCATTCACTTGTGTGTTTTAATTTAAATTGAGAGACAGAGAAAGAAAGATTTTCCAGAAAAAGCAAAAACTGGGTGTGTGTGTCTGTGTGTGTGTGTATTTAAATGAAATAAATAATAAAAACTGTGTCACATACTTATTGCCAGTGGAGCAACAATGTAAAACAGACACAAAACACATAGAATTCTGAATGTACCTAATATTTCTTTGATTTATAAAATTTAAAGTAACTCTTTACTCATAGGCCACTGGGTGTGGGCTTAAAGTAATCATGATTAACATCTTTTAACATGAAAGTAGAGTATACAACTTTATCTCGTGTTATAAAATTTAAGAAATTTCATTGTACTCAGATTATCCACTTACTGTGCATTAAAATCACTTTAATTGAATTCTATCTCACAAAATCCTTCATTTAAATGGTTGTTCCAAGTTCAATAAAAGAGTTTCTTGCAATCCACAACTTGAGGCATTTGTGTCTTGTACGGTAACCAAGATTAGAAGCATACATAACTGCTTCTGGGCACAAATAAGTATCTCCCTCCCCACCTTCCCCCCAAAAAGGTTCTCTCCTTTATGTAGCAGCCAAAGTTGCAATCTTTCGACACTAGCAAGCTAGCAACAGTTTCTCTCCAAGGGTCTGAGAATGTTTCTCGCTGCTAACCATCCCCTCACCTCATCTATATGATCCTGTCCTTTGGTCACGTCCTGGAAGAAGGTGGGACATGAACATAGAACCTCTCCTTCTCAGAGAACCTAGCAAGGTTACGGTTGCCTTATTTCTGGTCTCCATTTGTTGGAGTCAACCAGAGACTTTAAGAGAGAAATGCTGCTCTAAATACTGTTAACTTTTCTTCGGCCTCATCGGTTAGAGAAAAAATCGCTTCTAGCTCTCATGGATCACTACCTGGGCAAGTGGCAGTGGAATTGGTGGCGTGGACAATTTCTGACAGCCACTAGCTATGCTCACTGAAACGAAGACCATCCAAGTGGCAAACCAAGTGACTTGAACTGGTGAGCTGATTTCACAGTTACATTTCTCAACATTACAGCTTACTGAATGCATCTTTTGCATATCTTGGTTAGATATCATACTTTTTATAGCAAATCTTCATTGTATTATCAATGTTGACATATGTAAAAATGTATTATTTATGCTGTCTTACTTGTCTTTTCATTTTTATTTATTCTAGCCTCCTTCCTGCCTTCATATCCCCATATTTGAATACTACACCTCCAACTGAAGATACAAGTATATAAGATAACAAAAAAGATACATTTTAATCAATTATTAATAGCATTCTTAATACAAAATTGGCTAACAAGAAAAATTTTAATAATCGAGAACTATGGAATTTTTAGATTATCTTTTACCAAGTTTAACTTACTCTACTTACCCAGCATCATCACAAAACATAGCTATAACACTTTCAAAAAAGCCATGTTTACAACAACTTGCCTACGGTGATTGGCTGGAAGATAAAATGATTTAGTGGTAGCCCTCATAATCACAATTTAGGACTACATTTGGGATTCCACAGAGATTCTGTTTAAAGTCAGGAGAGCTTTCTGATAAGGTGTTTCCCTATACTCATGTGCGGCAGAAGTGGTGGTTTCCTCAGGATTTTCACAGCTGCTGACAATGGCAATGGCACTAAATGACCTTCGTCTCGCCTTGGTGTCTGATGCGCAGGATCCTCGAACTGGCGGTGCCTTTTCTATGTGGAGCTGCTGGTCTTTCCAGTCCAATTGCTTGGCACTGCAAAAGGGGGCATATACTTCCACACTTCCTTCAAACTGTAAGCAGTTCACTTTGTAATACTTCCTCTTAACTTCCAAGACATCATTAAACCTATGGCCCCAGAGAATTTCTCGGGGAACATAGGAGCTTCTAGATTGGTGGGATGTTCCAGTGGAATCACCAGTATAGATAAATGTCACCAAAATCTCAAAGTTATCTTTGGCTACTGCTTTGCGGTCAAGGGCATACAGAGGGCTCTCATGGTCAATTTCATGGACAATAGTTACTGGGGTGACCAGGATGATTTGGTCATTGACTAATTTGAGGTCTTTAAATGCCATTGTCATCCTCCCTTCACTGTCTTCTGTGTAGCGGAGAAGTTGGGCTCTAACTGTTCCTTCTACCACGTGGTTTGGCCGAAAATCACCAATGCGCCACATGAGGCAAAGCTTCCCATCTCTCATGCCTATAAGTGCAAAGTAGCTGAAACGAATGGTTTGGGCTCTCTTTCGAGCAGTTGCCATTTTGGCCAAGGCAGCTCCAATGATAAAGGTATTTATGACGCAACTTAAGATGGACTGGAGGATCACCATGAGCACGGCCACAGAGCATTCTTCAGTAACACAGCGATAACCATATCCTATGGTGGTCTGGGTCTCAAGGGAGAACAAAAAGGCCCCTGTGAAAGAATGGACGTTGTCAACACAAGGTGTGATGTCTGGATCATTTAACAGATCGCCATGATGAAGTGCTATGAGCCAAAAGACAGAGCCAAATATCAACCATGAGAGAATATAAGATAAAGAAAATATCAAAAACATATGGCGCCACTTAGTGTCCACAAGAGTGGTGAAGATGTCAACCACATAGCTTCCCCATTCTCCAAAAATGTGCTTGAAGTAGACATTACAGCTGCCATCTTTGTGAAGCAAGCGTCTTCTTGCTCTTCTCTTCTCAGCTATAATGTGCTCTGGTGGGTAGCCTGGGTATTTTGCGTCCACATTGACAATATGATAGCTGCTGCCGTAATAGCTCATTCTTTGCTGTGCCCTTAGGGATCCAGGTGAATTTTGTAGTAGTAAGAATTCTAGATGTGTTGCTATTTCTTGGTTTGGGTTTTCAGTTAGAACCTAAACAACAACAACAACAAAAACACACTTTTTAGCTTTTGATGTCCACCTTCATAGAAACTTGCCAAATTTGGAGCAGTGTCATACCATCTAAAATAGCTACTACTTCATCTGAACATCAGCGGCACAGTATTGATTACTCATTTCAGTTTAGAATTCAACCAGTCATTATAGAGGTAAAATATGCAATTAGAGAAAATAACATTTTTATATATGAATAAGGCTTGAGTAAACACTGTGATTATCCCAAATGATGCCTCACTAACTTTTCTGACCTGATATAAAAAAAAAATCTGCTTTATTTTTGTAAACTCTTCTTGCATGAGGGTATTTAGAAAACAAAGTAATCGCTAATATGAAAAGGCAAAATACAATTCAGATATGTGTCTAGCAGTCATAAGCTTCCTAACTGTTTAAATCAGGTTTTTCCTTAAAAGAAGGATGCAATAAAGAGTTTCTACTTTCATATCATAATGTAACTTTCAGAATTGTTACTGTTGTAATAGGTAATCCCTCACCTTCAGCACCTGGCGCTTCCTCTCTCTTCCACGGAGGCTTTTCTTCCTTGTGTACTTCCCAGGACAAACAGAACTGACAGGGGCACTACTTCACATTAAACCCATTTCCCCCTAGCTCCAGCTTTAGTCTTGAAAGAAAAGAAAAAAAAAAATGCATCTTTCTTAACCTCAGTGGAGCTAAAACTACTCCCAGGTAAGCTTTCAGAAAGGTGTAAAATTGCCTCTGCCTTTGTCTCATAACATTCATCCTTTTTTTTTTTTTTTTTTTTGACACTGGCAGCTCTTCTCTTTCCTTCTGAATAGAGTCCCAAAAATTTGCCAAAGTTGCTAATCTCGTTTCCCTCTTAAAGGGAGCATACTACAACTGAACCCTTCTCTCTGGCTTGTCAGTATTTTCCTGATACTTTCACAGACGTCCTTAGGCAAAATAATTTTTCTCCTTCCAAATTCAGTCTTGAAAAGATCAAGGCAGAACATGCAGCTCTCAACATTTTTAATCCTTGGTATAATAGGTCAATGGATTTCCCAGCTCAAGTCAAAGTGAAATTTAAAACTGCAACATCAAACTCATCTTGAGTTACTCCTATGCAAAACAAAAAAAATAGAAGTATTGTAGCCAATTTTAATAGCTTAGTAACTATTAGAATATGGGTTTTACACAGTCTACCTGTGCTAGATGGGATGAAGGGAGTATAATGGGGGGACTCTAGGGAATCTTGCCTCTCTATTGCATAGAAAATGCACTATGAATAAATACTATTCCTGACATAAAGACCCCTTGGAAAGAACCAGGGAAATTCATCACTAAATACGTGTTCAGCACCTTCTCTGCTGCAAAAGGACAGAAAGAGTTAACTTCCCTCCAGTGAAAAAGAATCAATTTTCTTTTCCTCCAGGGATCAGGCCCACGTTACAATAAACTCTTTGTTTAATGCACCACTTATAAGGATGGACTCCATTTAAAGCCAGAAACTCCTGTAAGGCATGTATGGTTTTCTCTCTGTCCTCTACCTGCCTGTCGGCCACTTCAGTCACCCATCGTCCACATCGGTTTTGATCTGTCACATCCTCTCCTTTCTCAGCACTTCAACCAGGTTCTGGCGGAACCAATTGTATAATTCCCGGATGTGACCTGGGGCTGCAAAAATGCTTACTGCACAGTTCAATGTAAAATATTTCCACAAATTTTGTCCACAATAACAACCACGCTTTGGAGGTTTCTATCCGTCTGACTTGTCATTGAACAATATTTTACAAACAGAAGAAGCTGATGTATGGTTCACAGTGTCCACTCTCTCAACTGGTCATAGGAGGCATGAAAATGGAGATAAAGTATAATCAAAGGCCCATATGATTTCAAATTAAAAAGCAGATATGGAGATAGAATTATTTTCTTGTTAAATGTGTCCAACCTAGTTCCTTCAAGCGAACTACACACATGGTGGGAGTCTGAGAGTTAGAAAATACCGTTTCATAAATCAAGAGCTACTGTGTGACTTTGCTCTTTTCTGCTGCCAAAAATAAATAAATAAATAAACAAATAAAAGGTTTTATTTGAAATGGCATTCAGTTGGCATCATTTTGAATTCCGGGGGTACCAGCAACTGTTATAAACAAGCCTCTTTCAAAACACCTTCCAAAGTGAATGAATTTTCAATTAATACAAGTTACAAGTGAACAAATTTGAGTGTGTGGAAAATGTACCGTTGAATAATGTAACAATTTGAGAGATACAAGTTACAACTGAAAATTTGGCCCTAAACTCACCGTGTTTCCTGATGTGGTTTCGTTATTGTGATCATTAACTTCAACTTAGCCAAAGACAAGCATTCAGATTCTGTTTAGGTCTATACACTTATCCTTTTCTTGAATCTCCAACTATATAAATAATGCATTTTTAAAAAGACAGTTGTCTTTAGGCCAAATGATCAATTGTAACCAAATAAATCATATATAATCTGAGCCGTTTCTCAGCCTACCCAATGAGCAAAGAAGTCTATGGAGGCCTTTCTGTCACACTGACTAGACGAAATATTTATTAGTCTCCTAGTTAGTACTTTGTGTTAATTTGAGCTTTTTTCCAACTGTTTACCATTCAATAATAGAGGCTAGCACCTGTTGATTGACTGGAATTTTATATTTACCGTTTGTATTTCTTAGGATTAAAACTCAGCCTTAAAAGTGCTTCGATGCTTTCGTAATTTTCTTGTCGCCATCAATTCCACCATGAGAAAGCATTTGCAACGTTCCTACTTTTGTAATTTTTTGCATGCTGCTCCCTAGACACCGATGGTGGCTATTGAAAGACTTTCCCCTGGGCCTGGAAGCTGCCAGGTGGGTGGTGAATAACTTCCCCCTTCTCAGGCCCAGTCCCAAGGCTCAAGACCACTTGCACCAGCAGCCTGCGTCAGCAAGATAGCAGAAACAGGAAGAGAGGAGCCGGAAGACACGTACCTGCTGAAGACCGAGAGAGAGGCCGTCCTGGTACCGCATAGCAGTTACATCAGGCTAAGACACTTCCTGTTTACAGGAGACTATACAAACCCCTGCCCCTACTCATTTGGTGCTGACGCCATTTTAGGCCTCAGCCCGTCTGCGCCCAGGCGCTCATTAAAACAGCGTGTGGCTCCACACCGCCTTGTGGTGTTTGTCGGTGCGCTTTTGGGGTTCGAACTGATACAACAGCCTTGCAGCTATTTCATTGGTTTAAAGGTTTTTTTTGTTTTTTTGTTTTTTTGTTTTTTTTAATTGCAAATGAAAATTACTATCAACTATCATTACAAAGCTATAGAATATAAAGTTCAAAAGAAAACATTGAATCAGGTAAGGTCTATTCTGCCATATGATAATGACAAAGGTAGTAAAAGCACAGCCATTTCTTTGCCTAGAAATGACTTACAGTTATTTTACAGATGAGGCTAGAGAAGAGGCAGTGCCCTCGGGATGGTGAAGCGTTTCCTCAGAATGCCATCAACGTTTATTAAATGCGCACAGATACTGAGGAAAGCAGCGAGAGACTCCCTGATTTACTCCATCCCACGGGGAGGACTGAGAGAGGGGAAGGTAGAAGGGACAGTAACCCCAACCCTGATAACCACTTTTCTCATATCTTACTCATTGTCTTAAGCTCAGATACAGAAACATTTCTTAAGCTACTGTGACTAGCAGGATCTGCTTTTAGGCTTCAGCTTTCTAAATCTTTGAATGTATTTAAGGAGAAACTTTTAATAATTTAGCACATTTCAAATAAGCTATACACAGCAAGGAACATTCTCAACATAACATGCACATCTTGCTTATTTGTCCCCGTTTCCAATACATAAAAGCATCTCAATTAGACTCATCAATTTTGAAACAATTCCTCTGCCATTTTGCCACCTCCTCTCAAAGTCAGCAACTTACCAGGTAAACTCCTCTTATAGATTGCTCTTCAAAGGTAAGCTCAAACCCAGAGTACCACACAGTGGTTAAGACACTGGTGATAAAACTTGATCTTTCCTGTAGCATCTACTTAACATAATATATTAATATGAATTGTGTGTTTTGTATACTTTGAGATACAAAAAAGGTCTAAAATTTCTTCAAAAAATCCAGTTCTGAATGTCTGTGGTCTTTGAGGTAACAAGTGCCTTCTTTACCACGTAAAGGACCTGAGGTAGCTAATACATGAAGTCCTCAGTATTCAAGTTACTTTCCTGACAACTATAAGATGAGATAAGTTTTGGTGGAAATTTGAGAGCTGATGGGGTGGAGAGTAGAAGAGATGGCCTAATTCTGTATGCAGGTCATTGCCTTTGAAGATAGGCTTAGGTGGAGCTCTGAGGGAGGGAGAGGAGATGGGGGGATGGGACCCAGGGTAGGTGAAGAGTAGGCCAGTAGAGGAAGGTGCAGTTGGATGGTACATTTGGGTGCTGAGAAGCAGAGAGAAAGAGGTATTAAGAGTTAGGACAATGCTGGGCCAAATTAGGCTATGTGGCTATTTTGCTCAAAACCTGTTTTACAACTTTTTGCCTTTGCCTTAGAATTATGCAGGAGCCTGAGGCCTGGAATCCTCCTAAGACATTCAGATCCGCTTAAGTGGAGCTCTTCATTTGGCCACTGAACTCTTGCTTTACCCAGAACCTACTAGATAACTGTCCATGCTTCTCCAAATACTCCCTGACTCTCTAACTTAAGTTTCTCCTTTGGTGACAAGTCAATGGCATTCTCAGGTTTCCTTCTCATCCCCAGAGCAAGTTGTCCTACACCTTTTCTTCCCTTTCTGTTCTCTTCTCCCTCTCAACTCTAACCCTAATCCACCATTTTGGTGAATGTGGATTTTACCCCTCTCCTGATATAACTCTACTATTTCTCCTCCTGAATCAGTTTAAGAAAACCTTGTGCCAGTTTGCTATAGAAAGGGGTTATAATATGTTATGAGCAAAAAACTAACTGAAAGCTGGAGCTGGGAAGAAGTCCAGTGTGACAGCATCACTAATAACATCTGGAGATCCTGTTTCTAGCCCAGTTTTTCCTTAAGTAGTATCTACATCCTGATTATAAATCGTACCTCTCCCCAAATGTTGCTCTGTTTCATAAAGAAGTAGAAGAAATGTGGAATCTGGGATTACGTTTCTCCATAGTTCTGGATCTCAAAATTGCACCAAAAACAATATAAATTGTAATTTTAAGTTATCTAGTTTAGAAATCAAATTCCCACAATATTAGTTTGGTGCAAAACTTAAAACCACGATTATTTTGCACCAATCTAATGAATAGTCTAAAATAAAATGGTTTTCGGTATTGCAGAGAGGGCCTGAATTAGGAGGCAGACCCCAGTTCCAGGTCTGCCCTCAACTTCCTGAGCATCTTACAGAATAACTTCTCTGAGCCTCATGGTACTCATTCATGGAATAAGGTCATGATACCTATGTCACCACATTACTGTGAAGTTTGAATGAGATAATGAATGGGAAGCCACCTTTTAATGGGTCAGACGCACAGAAGTCATTCAATAATTACTGCTTGAATCTGAACCCCATTGTCAAAGGCATTCAAACCAGGGGAACTCCATCTTGGAACAGGAGCTGGGTAAAATGAAGCTGAGACCTACTGTGTTGCATCCCCAGGAGGCTAGGCATTCTTAGTCAACAGGATATTTACAGTTAAAAGAATAAGGTAATCATGTTTACTGAACAGACCTACGACCTAACAGACCCAGGAAATGTCCTGATGTCCTGATATCTTAAGAACAAAAGCATTCTTAAACTAAGAATCAGTTTCACTTTAAAGATAATAATATAGATTCTTGCAGAAGACTGTAGTTACACAAAAATTAACAATCCTTTGTCAAAAGCTCTTGTAGTAAATCACATCTCCCCCATGATTTTCTTCCTTTGTTATCTTATATATATAAAAGCATTGCGCCCAAGGTGGGCATGTTCCTCCATCTGGTTTTTTGAATGCTCTGCCCTGTCTATACAGTACCTATTCTTTATTCTTTCATTCTTCTGTTTTCTATTTTTCTTTTCTTTGAGACGGAGTCTTGCTGTGTCTCCAGGCTGGAGCGCAGTGGCATGATCTCGGCTCACTGCAACCTCCACCTCCCGGGTTCAAGTGATTCTCCTGCCTCAGCCTCCCGAGTAGCTGGGACTACAGGTGTGCACCACCACGCCCAGCTAATTTTTTTGTTGTATTTTTAGTACAGACGGGGTTTCACCATGTTGGCCAGGATGGTCTTGATCTCTTGACCTAGTGATCCACCCTCCTTGGCCTCCCAAAGTGCTGGGATTACAGGCGTGAGCCACGACACCCAGCCCATTCCTTTGTTTTCTTAATAAACTTTTTTTCACTTTACTCTGTGGACTGGCCCTGAATTCTTTCTCACACAAGATCCAAGAACCCTCACTTGGGGTCTGGATCAGGACCCTTTTCCAGTAACACCATGAGAGCTGAGTTTCATCCTCTGTAGAATATCAGAACACTTGCTTTCACTCTCTCAAAGGGTGCTCCACTGGCAGAACACTGGCAGAGAGCATGTGGTTCCCAGTATATATTTCTATCTAAGCTCAGAAATGGTACCATTGTTTCCTACCACAAAGCAACCTGGGTTACTTTTCTGTCCTTCCACTAGTTCCTCAAAGCCTCAGGGATAAGGTGACTTCTATTCCTTTCCTCTTTTTTTTTTTTTTTTTTCTTTTTTGAGATAGAGTCTTGCTCTGTCTCCCAGGCATAGTGGCATGATCTTGGCTCACTGCAAGCTCAGCCTCTGAGGTTCACACCATTCTCCTGCCTCATCCTCCCAAGTAGCTGGAACTATAGGCGCCCGCCACCACGCCCAGCTAATTTTTTTTTCTTTTTTAGTAGAGATGGGGTTTCATGATGTTAGCCATGATGGTCTCTATCTCCTGACCTCATGATCTGCCGTCCTTGGCCTCCCACAGTGCTGGGATTACAGGCATGAGCCACTGTGCCCAGTCTTTTTTTTGAAACAGGGTCTTGCTCTGTCACCCAAGTTGGAGTGCAGTGGTGTGATCAGAGCTCACTGCAGCCTCAATCTCATGGGCTCAAGCCATCTTCCCACCTCAGCCTCCCAAGTAAGTAGCTGGGACTATAGATGTGTGCCACTATGCCTGGCTAATTTTTAATTTATTTTTAGAGACAGGGTCCCGCTGTGTTGCCCAGGCTGGTCTTAAACTCCTGACCTCAAGCAGTTCTCCAGCCTCAGCCTCCCAAACTGTTGGATTATGGATGTGAACCACTGTGCCCACCCAACGTTCCTTTCTTTTTACAACCATCACTACATGGGAGATCCCCTGCTCCTTGTTGTCAACACACACATCTGAACAGACACACACACACAAACACACACCCATCTATCCAACTCAGTTTAAAAATTTTATTACTATTTGCTCCTTTGCTCTGTATTACTTTAGGAACGAGCCTAAAGGAGACAGGACTGACGAAATTGGCAAAGTTGACAGGTTAAAGAAATCCACAAGGTGTTTATCATGCTTATTCTTTGTCTTAAATTGTGTGTACATGTTTTACTAAGACGGTTCTGAAACTTTCTCTTATTCTTATCTTGAAAATCACCCTGCCCATCCCTGTCTTGGGTGGATGTTAGCCCAAGTTGCTTAGATTTTTTACCTTGAGCTGGATCTGGGTTGGCAAGGAAGTCAGATAACATGGGATCTGATGTTCCTTTAGAAGACCACAGCTCAGTCTCTTTTCGTTGTATAAGGAAAGCACTTCCCCCAACAGCCTCTACATTCCCCATGGGAGTATTTGCTACTAATTATTTTCATTCTTGTTTTCTTTTCATTCATTTTTTAAAAAAACTCGAGTTCCTACTATGTTCCATCCACTTTTAGGCACTGGAAAACAGAATTGCAGCATCTTGGAGTTTACATTGGAGAAGCGGGTATCAACAAACATGAAACATGAAAGCAATACAAAGGAAAAATTTCGGATAGTAATGACTATCATGGAGGACACAAAAGAAAGTGCTACT